CAGTGTAATTTTTGGCGGTGACTTTCGACAAACACTTCCAGTGCTCAAATTTGCAAACATGCACACACAAGCGAACATGTGTATGTTGAACTCAAACTTATGGCAAAATATACACCACTTCCGTTTGAATCACAATATCCGACTCTTAGGAATTAATCCAGAAGATGCATCTTCGAATTCACGGAGTTACCAATCATGGCTCTTGGACGTTGGAGAAGGCAAACAGAACTCAGACTCAGTTGCGCAAATAGACTTGAAACATGGTACCGTGTTCCAAGGAACGTCTATACAATACCTCATGTCTAAAACAATCGATTTCGTTTACGGGACCTTAGAACAAGTTGAAAGAACAGGAAGTGATCACAAGATTGGTTCATACTACACTTCAAGAGCAATTCTGATGCCTTTAAATCAGTATGTGAAACAGATAAACAATCAATGTACTAGGCTTTTACAAGGAGAAGAGCACGTCACACTGTCTTTTGACAAAATGGTTGATACCAGCGAGGTGGCTGTGCCAGAAGAGGTGTTAAATACCGTGGAAGTACCCAATTTTCCAGAACACCAATTGCGATTGAAAGTAAACATGCCTGTGGTCCTAATTTGGAATTTATGTCTGGCTGATGGACTGGCGAATGGTACTAAGCTGTTGATCAAGGACATTCAACCACGAGTTCTCAAGGTTCAAATTATTACGGGACCAGGAGCAGGACGTGTCGAATCTTTGCCTAGAGTCAGGTTAATACACAAACCCTCAATGGATTTTGCATCAACCTTTGCAAGATTTCAATACCCCATAGTTAGTGCATTTGCAATGACAATCAACAAAACCCAAGGGCAGTCCTTATGTACTGTTGGGGTTTTTCTGCCCAGACCTGTTTTTGCGCATGGTCAGTTATATGTGGCATTGAGCCGTGTAACAGATGTTGACAAAATGTGTATCAGTATCGTGGGTAAAGAAGCGGATCACAACAAAACAACCAATGTAGTAAACTTAGAATTGATCAAAAAACACCTGACTACTGATGTACAATGTTCTTAGATAATTCATTAGTTGTTCTTGTATAATGGCGAATGTCTTCCTTTGTTGTGATTTGTAGAGCTTGTATTGTTTGTAACTATTTATTAGCGTAAGTCTGAGTTATGGGTCATTGATCACAGAATGAATAGCTGTTTACTGGTACCGTGGCGCAGCCACGATTTCCCTAGTATCTATAATGCGTTGTACAGTAGGTAGACAGTGAAAAGTGGCTGCTTATTTTGGATTCCAGAGCTACAAAACACAGACTTGATGTCAAGAGACTTGGTCAAGTGGTGCAGAATAGGTTCTAAAAAATGAATATGAAAAACAAATATTGTACAATTTGTGAAAAATAAAAAAATAAAATTTATTTTTCTCATAAGCTTTGAAATTCATTTTGGAGGAGTGAGAGTGCTGAGAGAAAGGAAGATTGGGATATGAGAAGAATGATTATAAATGAAAATCTTGGAAAAATTGGTTTCCAGATGGCTCCAAACAGCTGTTGAGTGGGGCATTCACCAGCCCACATTGCAGTAAAGCACTAGAATTTACTGTTTTGGCTTCAATCTGGACAACCAACCTGGCCAAACCTTTTTTGGTTCCATTTTTTTCATTTATAATCATTCTTCCCATGTTCTATTCTTTCTTTCTCTCAGCACTCCCGCTCCCCCAAAATGAATATGAAGGCTTTTGAAAAAAATCAATTTCATTTTTTATTTTTCACAAATTTTGAAACTTGATTTTTTGTTTTTATTTATTCCTGGGACCTATTATGCACCACCTGACCAAGTCTCATGACTTCAAGTCTGTGTATCCAATATAGGCAGCCACTTTTCACTGTCTACCCACTGTACAGGTGGAGGATGAACCTGTGCACAGTCAGACAACCATGTAAATACCCCAGTTTTGACCCACCTGGTGATAATACAAGGGGTGAAAGCTTGGAGATAGTATTTTAGATGAAAATAAAAGGGCTGAAAGCTTGGCAATGCAATTCTAGATGAAACTATAAAGGCTGCAAGCATGGAAATAGTATTATAGAAGCTCCTGGGATTTATTTATAAAGATTTGGGTTCATTACAGAAGTGATGATTTCACTTTTTACAAATGTAATAGTAATCATTTCACTTTTTACAGAAAGAAAAGAAAGAAAAGAAAGAAAGAAAGAAAGAAAGAAAG